GAAGGGAGGCTAGCACAGTTTAGTAAGAATCAAAGATCCTGTGGAAGATTACCTGAAAAACAACCACCAGGCGAAGATGTAAGTTTGTTAGTTTGCACATATTTGGAAAGTTATCTAAAGCTAGGCCCTTTGTTTGATTTTCAGGTACAATGCCAATGCCGTTATGACTGCAAAAATATCGGGCATGATCAAAAACTCAGTCTGTTCAATAAGTTTTATCAACTGGGAGATAATGTTAAACAAAATTCCTACTTAATGGGGCTGATATCTGTTTTCGGTGTTAAGCGCAGGCGCCATGGTTCATATGTGGATCCCACAGCAAGTAGACGCCAGGCATCTGTCTTTTTTACTATCCCAGATGGCAAAGGTGTTTGTAAGCAAGTTTGCAAGAAAACGTTTCTCGATGTTTTTGGTATTACAAAGCGTAGGGTCGAAACTCTCGTTAAGGCGATAAAGCGTGGGGACGTTACTTACATTGAGCGGAGGGGAAACAAAATTAGAGAGAGAAAGTATTCAGCAGAAGATGAAAGGCTCATTATTGTGCACATTGCTGCTTTGCCCAAAGAAGAGAGCCGTTATACTAGGGCTAAAAGTTCAAATTTGTATTTGAGCCCAGATTTAAATTACAACAAGCTGCATGCGTCTTTCGTGGAACGTAACCCGACGACTACAGTTAAGTACGGTTACTTCAAAAAAATAGTTCGACAAAAATTCCAAAAACTTAGGTTTCATCGCCCCAGACAAGATACATGTAATACAGTAATTCACAGTAAAATAATGAATGACTCCGTAAACAGAATAAAAAATCGCGCCTCGCTGGAATTGCATCATCGTAAAGCGGAAAGCGCACGCACAGCTATGAAAAATGACCATCAGGAGTCTCAAAGTCCTACGAGTAATATGTGGTATACACAAGGCTGATAATAATAAAGGCTTAATGTTTTTATGGCACGAGGGTATCAGTGATCGTGGAGGAAATGAAATTGCAAGTTGCGTCCTCAAAGGTATAAAAAGTAATATTACTCACAAGAAACAGTTTGTAATTTGGAGTGACAACTGCTGCGGACAAAATAAAAATAAAATGATTGTGTTTTTATGGATTTATCTAGTATGTAATGGCTATGCTGACGAGATCCAGCATAAGTTTGTCGTGTCAGGCCACTCATATCTTAGTTGTGACCGTGATTTTGCAATCATAGAGAAAAAAAGAAAGAAAGCCAAGTGTGAAGTGCCAATGGACCTTTGCAGAGTTATTTGCAACGCATGTGATAAGAATTCGTTTGAAACAACCATGATGCAGGAAGAGGACTTTTTCAACTTTGCCAAGCTAGCCCAACTTTATCTTAACACTACGCAATTAGAAATATCAAAAGTAGTTTGGATTAAAGTATCAAAAGACAACCCCGGCAGAGTATGTACAAAAAAAACCTTTAGTGATCTTGAACCATGGAAGATTACGAATGTGTTCAAAAAGAATATCACAAAGAACCATATTGTAGGTATGAATCTACCTCAGCTGGAGATGGCAACGCGACTGAACAATGAAAAGAAAGCAGATTTGAAGAAAATGATACCATACCTTAAAGAAGAAAATAAACAGTTTTATAGGGAGTTAACGGCATAAAAGACACTTCAAACAGTACAATTTTTAGTTGGTCTTACTTCGGTTATTTTTTATGTTTAAGTTTGTTTATATTTTTGATTTTTTCTACAGTATCTTGTTCTTAACTTTTACTGCATTAATTAAGATAACTTGTACGTATTACTTCAATATAATACTAAACTTATAAAACATTGATTTATTATTATTATTATCTAGCCTAAAAACTCTTATTTTCCTGTTCTTTGCTGTTCTGCACAAAATTGACCCGTAGACCCTTCCCCCATCCACCTACTCCAAAAATTTGACCCCCCTTCACCAAAACACCATTCAAACAATGAAATAAAGTGTTATATTCATACAGTTCAGTCACTTCAGTTATCATTATACCGAACTTTAAACTGGTATCTTAGCCCACTTTTTACCAAAAAAGTATTGGCANTTCAATTAACACTTTTCTATTGCTAATCTTTTTATATCTATATCCCCTAGATTTTATAATTTTATGTAATTTTGATCTACCATTAGTAAAATCACATTCATTTCTTGCAAAATTAAGTAAATCATTAAGATTAAAATACTGTTTCTTTTCATGCAATTTTTGTATTTGTCTTCCTAACTCTTCTTTAATAAAATATAAATTATTATCCGTTTTGTAGTTCATTTTACAACGCCCTTGTGTTTTTGGTTTTTTTACAGTTTGATATTTTTTGTAGGTTTGAATAATTTTAAAAACCGTCGTGCTGTGAACCTAATACAATTATGTTGAATATAAATTTAATTTTAAAACTCAAGTGCAATACACATACATCAAAAATACGTGAAGCTTTATCACATATATATTTTAAATTCGTATTTGGTGTCTCCGTCTGTACTTCTTCACAATACCTAATTATAGAGTTTTTTTCGCGTTTAGACAGTTGACATCCCGTTCCACCCTTTCTTAACATTTTTATGGTAGATTTAGCAGCAAAAAAATTATATGAAAATTGTTTTTTAATCAATCTTAACAAATTTGATAGACAGTGGTGGCACACAATTAAAGTAAAAGTCACGACATGCGCTTTTACTTTCAATACCAACTTGACGACACTTTGACAATTGATTTAAATAAAAAACAGATTATATTGATTGATTTATTTATCATTTTCCAGGAACATAACCTCAAAATAGAAATCGGAAAATTAGAATCAAAAAATAAACGTTTACGCATTAAATACATATTTTTACCTATTTTTTTAAGATTGAATGAATATTTACATTTATTTATTGATGAAATCGTGTTAAATTTAATTTCCATCTTTTGAGGTTATGTTTTTTTAAATTGACAATTATTTTCCAGGAATTTTCCAAAAATTCAATTTACGATCATCTCCCACACATATTAAGGGATATCTAAAGTGCCATGTAATGTTTGTTGGTGATGAAAGAGTTGCGTTTAACCGTTCCTGTTGTGTTTGAACGTGAAATACTTTGATAGAGTTTTCCAGTTTATTCACAATCGCTAAAAATTCCCCGGACATATTAAATTTTAAATCACCACCAGATTCTGTATAAATCAATTTAGTTTGAATTGGGCGACTCAAACGTGTTGCATCCCACAATAAAAGTTCTCCCATATGTAATGATGCAAGTAACTGAGAATCATTTGGGGACCAATGAGCCGCTGATAATGATTTTGTGTAACTACACGATAAAATTGGTTTAATCGCTGAAACGTTGTAAAACCGAATTACACCGATTTTTTCAGCAACCAATAATTTTAAAGGATCTTCTCTGTGCCAGCAACAGGATACTCCTGGGGATGTTAAGTTAAAAAAGGCTGTTAACTTATTATCCTCCGTCGACCAAACTTTAACTGTGTGATCATCGCTAACAGACGCAATATAACTGTTTGTTGGATCATAATTTAGATCGTTAATATAACTTTCATGTCCAGTTAATTCCATACAAGAATTTTCATCTGATAAGTTAGTCTTAAAAATGCGTATTTTAAAATCATTAGCCGCCGTACAAAATTGAACGTTTATCGGAATTATATTCAACACAGTTTCAGAAGAAAGATATAAATTTGTGCATCGAAGAGGATGTTGGATTTCAGCCAGAATACTTAGTTCTAATTTATCCTAAAATATTTAGTTTTATAACACGTTTTCTTTCTATAAAATATCTTTATAATTACCTCAAAGAGGATTTGACCAACGATTATTTTCTTGGGAAAAGCTAACAAAATAATATCTTGAGACCATTCATAAGTGGAATAATGAACAGCTAAAACAGGGCTATTTTCTTGTAAATCAATCGAATAAACTGGTTCGGTAAATTGCTTGTGAATCGCTTCGAAATCCATTTTAACGAAAATTGAAACTTTTAAACAACTAACATAACCTCTAAATAAAAATAGTTATAATTTTTGTGTAAAGAGGGCGCCCCTCAGCATAATAAAACGAATCGAAATAATATTAAATGTCAAAAAGATTTATGTATTAAATATCCGGTTTTTTATATAAATTTTAAAATTTAATGAAAATGTTGTGCTGTNCCCAATATTCATGTTACTTAACCATACAAAAAGAGGAAAACGCATACCACCATTAACCGGACGTAATTCAGCCATTTGAAACATAAATTAGCATGTGGAATTTATTTTTACTTACACGATTTAGCACCTGTCAAAATTTAGTTAAATACAAACAAATCACGGTAACTTGATCTGCACTACCGAAGGAAACAAAATGGATAAAGGTGTTAAAGTCACATAGCACCTTTATCCATTAACTTAATTTAGATTGTGAAACTCATAGCACCTTTATCAACCGGTACTTTGCAAAAAAGTAAGAATTAATCTGCAAAACATCTTTAGACCAAAAATCCTAAAATTCTCAAAATTGTTACATAACACCTTTATCCACTCGCGTCTCCAATTATCTTTTAAATTTTTTTATTTTTGTAGTTAAAGCAAGTTGAATTGATTGGCGAACTCTTAAAAACCTTATTTAATTTAACTGTCAAAACGGAAATTGAATCTGATTTGAGTCGAGATCTCGTCATTTTGTTACGTGACCATCTCCTTTGGGAATTTGAAAACAAGGACGATAACAACAACGAATTAAATAACCACATAATAAATTTATTAATAAATGTTCCCGAAACCGAATTGGGCCATTTAATGTTGGAATGCGTCACAGAACCCCCCACAAATGAAACGTTACAATATATGGGGTACGATATGACGGCGATCTATACAATGTTAGAATGTTTGAAAGCTAAATTCACCAAAAACTGTACCGTTTCGAAACAATTGGAGTTGTTATCTCCGGTTATCACCGTTTTAAGAAATTGCGCACGAAGTTGTCGCAGAATGAGAAAGTATCTCAAAACACAAGTACTTCCCCCGTTAAAGGATGTTAGGTCACGACCGGAGGAGGAAGAATCTTATCGCGGATATTTTTGTAGACTTTTGACATCTCCCATTACAGAAGTTAGAGATTTATCGGCCGATTTCTTATTCATTTTATGTAAAGAAAACGTAAATAGGATGATTAAATATACCGGATATGGAAATGCAGCGGGAATGTTCGCTTCACGGGGTCTTATGTTGGGTGGAAACACGGAAAATTCAAATAATTATAGTTCAGATAGTTCAGATAGCGATACTGATGAATACAATCAATTAAAATCACAAATTAATCCGGTTATGGGATGTTATCAACCTGATACGCCAAAAGCTACTGATAATATGACTGATGAGCAGGTAAATTATTGTTTATTAAAATTTAAAATGATATGCAACCAAACGTACAAAGTCGATAAAGTAGGATTTGATTTTTAGAAAGAATATGAAGCGATGAAATTGGTTAATTTAATGGATAATTTGACGAAAACGGGAATTGTACAACCATGTACAGTTGGTCCCGATGGTAAACCGAAACCCATCAAGCATGTTTTACAGTTACAGCAAGGTTTAAAAGCACAACAGATTAAAAGCGAGGATAATGATAGCGATTAAATTTATGTGAAATATCGGTGGAATTTTTATTAAAGAAAAATGTTTGGGGAAATAGCACAAAAATAGCTTCGAAAAATCTAAAAAAAAAATTAATAATTTTATTTTTTTATGTTTTAAATGTAAAAATTTCATATATTAATCTTAATGTGATCGTTTTCAACGTTTTGTGATGATTACATCTCTCTATAATATATGTGTTGTAATAAAAAAGTTAAAACAAAATTTTGTATTTTGTGGTTAACACTCCCCATTTTCATTTCTAAATCATAACCCAAATCAAAATAAACATATATAAACCAATAAATTAAATCTAAATATGAAATCTGCGGCTTACAAACTGTTTGTAAAGAGTTAAATTTAGAAAACAAGATAAATATTTATTATTGAACCGATTGTTCGCAGCTTTTCCCACTTTTCTTTGTAATAAACTTAAAAATAAATACCAACACTTTTATTATTAAATGTTTATGATGGGGGATTTAATTTCAATTTTATTATTCATGACTTTCACAACCCCAGAAATGCCGTTAAAGCATGAAAATGGAAATACGAGGGGAAATATTTTAATGAAGTTGGAACGCTTCCAATTAAATACCTATTAAAAATGAGTCGAAAATGACATCCTTCAAATCAATACTGTTTCACTTTACGTAAATGTATGTAAACTAGCCCAGATGTTACACCACCCAAGCTAGTTTTCTCATGAATTATTAAAAAACCCATTAATTATTAAAACTGTTTCCATCGCCGTAAAAAGACTGTCAACAGAAAATAGAGATTATTTTAAATCGATGTCTTTAATAAATCATCGCTCAATATAAAAACAGTTCCAACAAATTTATTATTTTTAATATCATCACAACTTTTTATTGTCATTGAAGCCCACAAAAAAGGCGTCTCGATTGCCGAAGGTTTTTTTTTGCGCCTAAAAAGGACGCATTTTAACTCCCACTCTTTCTCTTGCTTCCATTCAATGCTACCGAAGCACGGAATACTTCCACCAGTTGAGTTTTAACCGTGAACAAGAAACGATTAATATATTTCAAAAACGTAAAATGTAGTTTTTTGTGTCTTAATTAATACTAACAGTACCTAAGTGGTTAATTAGATGATTTCATCTGGTTCTTGGTGACATGTTAGATCATTTTAGGTATGATTAGAAAGAAATTATATTAACTAATTTGTTAAGAATAGAAAAAACTGGTTTTTAAAATTGATCATAAAAAGTGATTCATTAATCGAAAAATGTTTATAAGGAATTTCTTGTGGTAAATGTAACGTAAACTTCTAATCTGCATACGTAAGCAAAGAATGGAGTTCTCTGTTTAAGATATTAGGTTTCAAATACAGAGGTTTATCATAAAGTCAACATCTTTTTTTATTTATTCCGATTAATTTAAGTTGATCTAATCAATATGTAAAGCTTCTGGTTTGATAAATAAAAATGTTTTTTAACTGAAATTATTTATTGGAGTAATAAAAAAAGTTTTCAATTCGAATGTTTCAAAGTTTCGTCTTGAGCAAACAACCCGATAAAGTATCCATTAGCAAAAGTGTCCCTCGGAAAAGTGGGAAAACACGTTAACGTTATTGAATCAATAGGGAAGATAAAAAAGCAATCGATAATAATGAAATTGTATCTCGTATTAATATAATCAGTAACTTTAAAGATAGATTATTGATGAAAAAAAGAAAATTAATTAGTATCAGTTTACTAACTACAAAAATCTACACTACGAGATTAAAAAATGACTTAATCGCTGGCACTTCCAAGTTTTGCACTTACTTCTTGCAGACCTTTAACTTTTATTTTTACTTTGTTACCGCATACGTTACAAATTTATCATTATACATCACCAGCATAGTTTAATATCGGACCAAACTATTGAATCAAATTAAATCCCTTTCTGCAATCTGATATGGTTGTTTATAAAAGTTCACAATACGGAACGAGATTTTGCCTAGAATCTGTAAATACAAATAAAGTTTACGAATAAATTAGACTCTGAAATTCAAAGGAGTGAGTAGATAGATGAATTAAAAGAGTAAAAGATGGAAAATGAAGAGTCGGAGATCTGCTTGCAATTATAACTGCATTAAAAAATGATACAGCTGGAAGTTTATCGTTCGAAAACTGCGTTTAATCCGCGCTGAAGTTATACAATGCCAAGATTTACATACTTCTATGTCGTTAGACAAAGGCGGAGGTGACGGGTAGTTTTTTTACGGGTAGTATTTGACTTTAAACTGTAATGCCTCGGCTACAAGCAACCTCGGCTATAAAGTAAAACACCTAAGCCACCAGCGACCTCTATCTACAACCAATATTATAATATAGCTTAACAAATTCGCATTGAATTCGAAACAGTTTAAATAATTTTACGATTTTCTCATTAAATAATATCTAAATTATTTTTGTAGTATTTAAGATTACTTTTTTAATTGATAACTTATGAAAAAATTTGGTAATATTTTTGATAAAAACCCAACTAAATGTTCGTTCAAAACACAACTATGTACCTACTTACATGAATTGCAAATTAACGCGTAGGTTTTGAGGTTGAAAGTGTTATTTCAGCATTAAAAATAACTTTTCTAAATAAATTCTTTTGTGTTATTTACAAATTATTTCCTCTGTCAAGATTTGTTTTTAAAGTTTCTTATCAATCGTGATTACCGAAACTTTGTTGTAACTAGTGAAGAAAATATACGGCATGACNCCACTTGAATTGAAATATGTAAATTAACTTTTAAGATAACGTGCTTAAAGCAGCTACGAACGATAACATTATCGTTCTACCAGCGCACAAGGGGAATGCGACCTTGGTTATGGACAGAAATGAATACAACAAGATTGCACAAGATCACGAGCCTTTTGGACCCAGCCACTTATAAGAACTTAAAAAAAGGACCCAACCGAGAAGATAGTAAAGATATGAAAGAACTGGTAAAATCCACAGGAATCCCAGCAGAACAACAGAAAAGCACTACTCTTCATATTTATATATGAAGCGTAGTTTAATTTGATTTAAAATTTATAAAATATAGGAACATAAAACCTAGACAAACATAAAATTTTAATATAAAACTACGTAATGCAAAGTTTTATTTCCGTGGTTTAAAACAACAATAATATCTTTTCTGTTGAAATAAAATTATTAAATAATTTGTTTATTACACATTATCATTATCGTTATTTTTATTAGTGGCTTTGGCATAGGTTGGAAACTTCACTGTTTCCACTTTATCCTGTACTTTAAAGCTTGGATATAACCCCGTTTGTTTCGTACGTAAATTTTTCCCTTTACTATAACCATTCCAATGATTTCCAGCAACTCCAACCAAATCGTTAACGTTCAAGTTAATCTCGCCTTGGGATTGCGCGGTGTGTGGCAACAAAGCGACGCGATTGTGTTGGTTCTGACCCCCGAAATAATAAATATCGTCCAAGGATTTAAACTTATCGGACGCATCCGGAAAATAATTTTGCATTATTTCATACGCAACTCTACAAACCTAAAAATTATTAATAAATGTTGTGGTTAAACATTTTTGTTGAATTTGTTGTTTAAATAACCTGAGATGAAAACGTGCAAACTAAATAATCGCTCATTGACAGCATATGAATGTCTAAAATGATCCCGTTTAAAGATTGTTCTGAGTATCTTGTTGAAATCGATGCCGTTTTTGATATAGAAGCGTCACCCAAAATCTCGTAGGAGGGATAATTTTTTTTCGCTTCTGCTAAAACTTTCGGGTCATCCGTTGCGAGATATATCCTACGTTTTTCAACCGATCCTTTTAATTCTAATTGATCGTAATAATCTTCAACAACAGCCATGTATTCATTAACAGAATGAAAAGAGGCTTCTGTGCCTACTTTATCCGTTCTTCTAATATGAACACTAAAAAATTTGTTTGCATCATTTTCTTGTAATTTTAAAATTAATATTTTTACCCAACAATAGGTCTTTTAAATCCAATATTATACATAGTATCTTGCATTAAAGCCGAAGTTTTTTCTTGTGGTTTCATTAAATATTTTAAAAATTGTCCGATCCACCAAACGATGGGGTCGCCGTGCAATCGTATTAATCGCGGGGCTAAATCCTCGGGGATTGCCGGTGGAAGATACGGAGGTCGAGGTGAAATCGAATCGATAACGGATATAGTTAAAACTTGAGTTTCGGGGGTTCCTAAAATAATGAATTTTTAAATTATTTTTTATTATTATTCATGATAATCATTACCAGGCCAAGTTGAGCCGTTTTCACCAAACGTATCTGTACAAGTATCACTTATTGGTTTAAACTTTTCCTCCCATCCCCCTTTATTATATTTCCAACCTTTCGATTTTAAAATTAAAGTACGTTCGGTTCCATAAGCCACCAATAAGCAGTATACTACGTGATGAAGTTGACACCCAAACCCACAACCCTTAAAATAATTACAAATTAAAAATTTATTGTTCAAAATTATTTTTATTACTTTATTTAAGTTGCAAACTAATTTTTTGGCACTTTCACAATCAGCGGGATTTTGTAAATACTTCAATCGTTTCTGTACCAAATTACTTAATTCGGTAGCTTCTAATTCCCTCCAAGTAGCGAAACCATCAATCTCCCCCAATTGCGCGATATCATGCAATAAAGATCGTTCGTGCTCTTTGGTCACCTTCAAAAACTCATCCACAGAACTCTCAGCGTTCACCGATAACTGTTGAACTTGCTGTTTCAGATTATGCATCTCACCCCGAACATAATAAAATAACTCCTTTGTATTTGTGGCAATTCGTCTCCTCAATATTTCGTATTGAGAGTTTGGTTCCTCTTTTTGGCTTACAAACCCGACGTCTTGAAGTCTTTTCGATTTTGGGTGTTCCACTTTCGTCAGACGCATTTGAAAGTTTTCTATTGCTTCTTTTTCTTCACTTTTAAAATCACTACAAAAGATGTTGAGGTTGTAAAACTCGATAAATGAGAGTGCATTGAATAATTACCCTAATTTAATATCTCTAAAAAGCTCTTGTAACTCGTTATTTTGTTTACGGAGTATCTCTAAATCAGCTAAAGCCTTCGCAAGTCGATCTACAGTTTCCGTATTTGCAGGAGATACGTGTGTAGAGATCATCGGAAATGCAATAAATAAAAGGATCACAATCCAAATACCAAAGAATATTAAAACTATCGCGTTTACGTGTCTGAATATTGCACTCATTTTTTTGATTTATTATACTTTATACGTTTATTTTTACGTTACTACTTATTACTTAACAACTGGATTTTTTAGGTTATAAACTTATGCATATGGAATACATTTGTACATGTGGTATGTGTATAGTTAATTTATTTTTAGCACTATGAACAGTACCGTAAATAATTCATGTCATGTCACCACAATCATATTTTTAAAATATGTTTGAGGAACTCGTTAACTATCCGATTTAACACAATTTAACATTTTGACAGGTTTGACAGGAAGAAGTAAAAATAATCAACGTGAAGTTAAATCGCAATAATACCAACCGAGGCGACTCAATTATTTTTGTCACTTTAATTATAAGTTATTCTTCTTTCTTTGCAGTCTTATCGATTCGTTAAAATAAAATAATTTGATTACTTTTATTGAATGATTAGATTGAATTGGATAAACGTGTGTTGGTACCAACTGCATTTATGACCCATACAACCGACCTACATTATCTTTAAACTTCCTCCTCTTTGTATAATTATTTTCCGCAATTACATGAACCATAAAAACCTTTTTTTATAAATAACTTTCTCTTTTGAGAATCAACTCAGATTAATCTAAAATTAAATTTAAAAAAAAATAAATAATATGTTGCATCACTTTCTACATCAATTTACAAATATGTACATCTCTTTTTACTAAATCGATTATTAACCTTCATTCTACACCAAACTAAAATCAATGGTTAACCTCAAAACTTGTTTTAGGGCGTATTATAAAGATTGTTAAAATTTCTTAAAATATGGAATCACAAATTGAAGTATTAAATAGCGATGATAACGCAGCTAAAAAAGAAATTCTTAAAGATCTAATAGAAAAGGTTTAAATTTGAAAAATAATAATGCTAATAATTGATTTGTTTTAAAACCAGTTTTCAGATCAATTTAATTTCCCAGCTTTAGATGAAGACAACACGAGAGTATCATTATGGAAAGCACTGTATCACATTTTAAAAGATAAAGAACAAGGGGATTTACACCAATTTTGTTTGATAATAATCCGATTATTAAGTCGTGAGAAAAAATTTTTAAATGAACTTGTTTCAACGAACATTTTGGTGTTAATATTAGCAATGGGGGGGTTGGGAGGAGATAATAATACTGTTGTTTATAACGATAAGCTCATCGAAGGGCTAAAAGCTTGTTGTAATATTTTGTTTAATGCTAATATTTCTAGAGAGGTTTGTTTAAAACATGGTGTTTTGGAGGGTATTTTTAAACGGGTTAAACATTATCAGTGAGTATTTTGATATTAAAGGAGTTGTTAAATGAATATATTCTTTTAAAGCGAGAATGAGATTCCGATCGATGTTAAAATCTTAGATATGAAGATTTTATTTATTTTAACGGCGTTACAAAGTGATAGTCGAGTCAAAATTAATAAGAAATTTAATGGAATTGTTGAACTTATGGGAGTTTTAGGGAAAGCATTTGAAGATTTTCGAAATAATGAAGAATTTAAGGTGATTATATTTAACAAAAATAATTGAAGACGCGAGTGGATGAAGGTGCTATGTAACACGGGAACAATTTTGAGTTATTCGCGTTTAAAGTTTTTACTATTTATTTCTTTTTTCATATTATTCAATTTATTTCAACAACAAAATATATTACAGTATAATAACCTTACAAAATGAAGATAAGTTAAGGAATTACAAGAAAGAATATGTACATCCACTAAATAAGAGACAAATTTAAAATTTATTACGAATGAAAGATGTCATCTAAAGTATTTTATTATCGCGTAAAATATTTTCGTAATAATATTTGTATTCTTCATGTACAAATTGCAACTGTTGTTTCAAATTCAGTAACTTTTCTTTAGAAATATTGCCATATTTTTCCGAAACTCTGTCTGGATAAACACATATTTCTGTAGTCTTTTTATTTTTTAAGCAATTGANCAGCATTAAAAATAACTTTTCTAAATAAATTCTTTTGTGTTATACACAAATTATTTCCTCTGTCAAGATTTGTTTTTAATATTTGAGTTATGCAATCAATCAAGGACAATATTAATTATAATTTTTATTTTCTTTTTAGATGAGTAAATCAAATTTAAGCAGAATGGACAGTTTGTGTCCATCACCATCCGAAACTTTATTAAAAGCAGTCGAACAAAACAACATAAATTTAATAAGGAAATTAATCTTTGAAAATCAAGATTTAATTAACTATGTTTATCCTTATCCCTATCACAACCCAATTCTCTACATCGCAATAAATAATTATGCAGAAACCGTTTTAAGCGAAACCGTACAAACTTTAATTGATTTAGGGGCTAATCTTTTTTACAAGATCCCTGAAGATGATAATCAAGAAGCAATTCATTTCGCTGCAATCGGCCAAAACCCATCGATTTTGGCTACGATTATAAAAAATTTAAATTCCAATCAAATCAAAGCGACAACTTCGAATAATTCGACTGCTTTAAGCGTTTTAATTAAAAACGCGAGAATTGAAACTGAACTTGAATCAACGAACTTTGAAAAGTGCTTAAAAATTTTGTTGGGGACCGAAATCGATGTGAATCAACCGAATAAAAGTAATCAAACCCCGATTGTTATCGCTGCGGGGAAAAGAAATAAAATAGCTGTTACAACTTTGTTTAATTCGGGAAAATTTATTAATATTGATGATTATAAATATATGAAAATTCCAGTGAGGGAGTTGATAATAAAACATAATTTATACGATGGCGATTTACCTGAGATAATAAACAATAATAATAAAATCGATAAATTTTCTTATTTAATTCAAAACGATCAAAATGGATTTATTTCTTCGTCGATTGCCGACTTTGATGAAGCATCTTCGGGATCGACTTATTTGCAAATAGCTTCAGAACGAAATTTAGAACAAGTCGTTGAATATTTGTTGGATAACCGAGTTGATGTGACTAAAATAACAGCGAAAAATGAAAAAACTCCAATCGAAATAGCCGCATTAAACGGCTTTTGGAAAATTTTCCAACTTTTATTACCCCATTACAATAAAATCCCCAAAAACCTTTTAATCCCTTTACTCTCAAATTCTATCCATGAAACCACCCCAACCATAAACCATAGAAAATGTTTAAACATCCTCTTCGAAAGTGAGAAGCAATTTCTCGTTAACACATTTCAAGATGGCACCTCCGCTTTACACTTTGCTGCGAAATACACAAATTCTCGCATCGTTTTGAGTATGTTAAATCGGGGTGCTTCCTTGGCGAATAAAAATAAATATAATTTTCTTCCCATTCAGGATATCTCCTCGAAAGTTTTAGAAAAACATTTCGATAATTGTATCGAAATAACTCATAACCCCGCTTTTGATAAGGAAAACACCATCGTTACGTTTTATTATAAAAGTTTAATGCCGACCGTTTCCGGCAAAAAATTAAATCAAATCGACGCCGATTTAGGGGGAAATCCCGTTGAAAGTTATATTAATTTAGACGAAAGTTACCGAAAGGATGAGTTTACTATAGAAACTGATACCGTTCAGGAATTAGCGCGAATAAAAGAATTAAGACACCTTTTAAAACATCCGTTAATTTCGAGTTTTTTGTATTTGAAATGGCACAAAATTCGAACGTTTTTTTATTTGAATTTAATTTTTTATTGTGTTTTTGTAATATCGTTGTATTCGCATATTTTTTTAACGAAAAGTGATTATTACAAGTTTACAAATTCGTTAGTTTTTGGTGTTTTAATTATAACTTGGGGAATTTTATTATTGAGGGAATTCTCCCAAATTATGATTTCACCAAAAATTTATTTTTTAAGCTTTGAAAATTGGTTGGAATTAGGATTACTCGTTGCAACGGGAATTATTATCAATTCTAGCAGCGACGATGATGTTATTAAGCAATTTTCGGCCATCGCAATTTTGTTATCAGCGTTAGAATTAATGTTATTGATCGGGCAACATCCTCGTTTATCAACTTACATCGTGATTTTTCGAACGGTTTCGTGCAATTTCTTTAAATTCCTTTTATGGTACGCCATTTTAATCTTAGCTTTCGCTTTTAGTTTTTATAAACTCTTCAAATCCACCGATTCAACTCCAATTAAAAACTGCACAAAAGAAGAGTCCGATAATGATTTCTTCACAGAACCCGATTTAACATTCATCAAAATCATAATAATGTTAACCGGCGAATTTGACGCCAGCAATTTAAACCTTGACACCCTCTCAAACAAACTCCTCTTCCTAGTCTTCGTGTTCCTCATCCCAATAATCCTCTTCAACCTTTTAAACGGCTTAGCCGTAAGCGATACCCAAATGATTAAAAATGACGCAGAAATCATTGGTTATATCGAAAGGATTAATCACATCGTTTACATTGAGAATATGATGTTGGGAAGTTTAATTCCCTCAACTTTGCTGTGGTTATTTAGAAAATGTGCTTGTTGCTTTAACACGCCCGTCGAGTTTCAACAACAAAGAACGGTAATGAAATGGTTGGCGCAAAAAATATGTTTGTTTCCAAGAAATTATCCCGACTACAAAATGGTTATGTTATTAAACATGAATGGGAAAGTAAAAAGGGATGTTAACGGTGGGTGTAAACGATTAAAAGAGATCTATTTGGATGAAAAAACGGTTAAAAACATTAAAAAGATGTTGCAAATGAAAAATGATAAAGAGGATGAATTGATTGAGGAAAACAATTATTTGAAACAAATAAAAATGCTTCAAAAAACAATTAATGAAATGGCTAAATGCAATAAATGTACTTGTCATTAAATAATTTTGTTTCTTTTAAAATATTTATCAATAAATCGTTTTGTTTAATATACTCTATTTATTTGGTTTTTATTTTACATCCAAAACCCGATTCTTTTTCCTTCCAAACGATTTCATCACAGGTAAAAGGTGGAATTGATCTGACTTTTAAAATAGGGGCGGGTTACCTTGGCAACGAGAGAGGGATTTTATAAGGTCAATTCTCTAGATTTAGGTCAAAAGAGATTATAAATCGTTTAAAATACACCATTTATATATAACACATCTTAAAGATATAATAATATATACGTTTATGAGCAAATAAAACCAAAAATATTTATGAGAAATAAAACATAACATTTTTTAAATTTTTCGTGTTTTTTTAATTGTGGATACTATACTCTGTTTTTAAACCAGGAGGAGTAAACGCGAAAGTCAGACTTACACCAGGAAAAATCACCAGAAAATATCACTAGATATTTTGGCGGTATTTATTTTCGTTTGTTATCGTCAACACTAAACATACAAATTAACATTGAAGTTATGAGTGTATTTATTTCAAAATATAATAAAGAAATACAATAATGACACGAAACTGTCGAATTGTCAATAACCTAACCTTCAAATTCAAAATTCAAAATTGCCTGTGTGTGAACCTTCCTCGCATTCAACCAATCACGTGCAAGGTCAATCTGGTGACAAATTTAAAATACTCCTCCTGGTTTAAAAACAGAGTATAGTTATGATACGATATTATAGATTGTAAAAAACTTTCGAAACTTACATAAATTAAATTGCAACTTTGATTATATATAATATGGTTTGAGCTAACTGAATATATCTACTAACAAAAATGTTGCTCAAGGTGAATAGACGCAGATGGAAAGCGATAATGTGAAAGTGTAACAAAGATAGATATATTATATGTCAGTACGCTTCTATATCTATCTCACTTCTATCAGTACACCCATTATATGGCAGTACGCTTCTATGTCTATCTCGGTTCGATCACCTTGCGCAAGCTATCTCTCTCGTTAGCTCAATCCATATTATATATAATCAAAGAATTGCAAACATTTTGTACATGTATAAAATTTATATGTATTATGTATATAGAAGGTGATCTCCCCACTATTTTTTGGTACAAGCGCTCCCAAGGGGATTGTGAGGGAACTAATTAAGTTAAAGCGCGAAATTTAAATATAGGTATTTCTATACCGGTTTATACCATTACTTTATTTTGAGGAGGTAAAGCGCGTTTTCCAAATAAATAGGAAAAAATATTAATTTAAAGTTTTTCCAAGATAATATTCATAATTTTTAACGTATATTGCTCTCATTGGCTGAGGCTCGTTACTACCATCTCCTGGTTAAGCTATCTAAGGGATTATTACCATGGTTACGGCTATTTTACGCGCTCTCATTGGCTAGTAGATGGGTTTATCTATTAGATAAATTTAACTAAAAGATGGTAGTAACGAGCCTGAGAGCGCCAATTTATCTATCGGATAAACTTATCAAGAGGTGGTAAAAGTGGCCCTAACTTATTTAAATACTTAACTAAAGAATATAAAACACTAAGCCAAATGAACGTAAGGAAGAAAATTTGCTTATACAACGGGGTTATCAGTTATCACACTAAACGACAAAACAAAAATGTGACGTTTGCTTTCACCCCTGAGTTTGACGTGGTTTGACGTTACACATAAATTTTTCTATGGTTTCAAGCGCTTTGTTTGTGTAGATAATGCAGATTGCTGCAAATTCAGTCTACAACGTCATCCAGTGGATTGTGAGTGTACTAAATCTCGGTCTACATTTTTATAGTAGTAAGATTGCACACCATGATTTTCATATATATACTATCTCCTATATCGCTGACTAAGGCAGCAAAAGAGTGTAAACACTAGAGTGCAGATATATATATATCTGTCTCTGTCGTGCCCCCGTCTACTCAAGAGACATGCGTGAACACGTGGTGAATACGCAAGGTCTATAGAACATAAGGTTACCCAATACCGATTCTCCTCCTCTGAGAGGCAAGGTGGGTCAGTGACGTAGCTGGTTCGATGAACAACACAACGCCCTTGTTTATAGATATATCTATAAACAAGGACAACACGATGCGAGGTTTAAATATTTTATATAGACTGTACCACAGTATAGGCACGTTGGCACGTATCTATCTTTTATTCTGACTGTATCGAACCAGTGACGTCAATTTGCGGGGTAATAATCGATACTACAGAGGCATAGGGAATGAGGTAACCTTATGTTCTATAAACCTTGGCGTATTACTACGAAAAACGTAAAATAAGTTGCCTATATTTTAGTACATATTTCTTGCATAGAAAAAAATCGATAATGTGTCCTTCGAGAATAATACCGAATTATTGGAGACTATTCATCGGTAGGTACCGATTTGTAGACGCCAAATTTTTTTAAGTAGGTGTATGAATAGGTTTTATGAGAGGAAACCAACTGCGTTGAATCTTTTTAGGAAGTTTGTTTAAAAGACTATATTTTATATACCGAGTAAGGCATTCAAATTGAGACTACCTAATAACTCATAAAACATCAACTTTATCAAAAAAGTTTGAAATAAAACTTTCATCGTATAAAGGGGGAAAGTATTCTGAACGATTTTTATTGCATATTAGAAGCGCCATCAATATTTTTCAATTGTTAAGTATGCTTTTCAAAGGGTACATGTTTTTTAATAAGCATGGTTTTTCGAAGAAAGGGCCAATTGAAAAATTTCCTATAATCCTACACAATATATTAACTGCCCAACGTCGCGTCGTTAGTAATTCATTTCACGTAACCAATAAAAATGTTCTAGTAACCAATAAAGCATACTTGTATCTAATAACAAAATGAAATTGGCTTTTGGATATCATTCTACTAAAGCTCTTGATGCAAAGTCGTCTGTCAAGTTGGCACTACATCTTGCGATTTCAATAAAAAAAATATTGCATTAATTGTCGTTTAATTAGTTGTAATTTGTCGTAAAGTTTACAAATTTGTCGCTTCCTTTTTTATAAACAATACTTGAAATATTGCATTTTTGAGGTAGTGCTAACTTGACAGTGGGAATCGATGGTAAAGAGTGGAGACAACAAAAAACTAATGACGTCATAAATTGTCGCTTAATT